ATTTTAATAAATATGTATTAGTTAAGAACTAAAAGCCACACATTATAATATAGGCTGGGAATACAGAAATTAGTAAGAGACCCTTGATTTTGAGTGGCTAAATGATTCTAAAACCCTCTTCTATTTCTTAGGGACAATGATCTTACAATATTGATATCACAACTTCATCAAGTTAATATGCTTAAATGAAAGCTTAAAACATAGCAAAAAAATAATAAGGATAGTCCTGTCAAGGTGTAATTAACTGATTGGTGCCAATTTTCAACATATTCACATCTCTTTAACTGGCTACTTATTTATTTACTTACTTTACTAAAATCCTGGGATCAAATAAGGAACCCTAAAGAATCAGTTCCTTCTTAAATTGACCACCTAGCCTCCATTTGATGCAGACTTTATGTTAGGAATTCAAATATATTTTGGTATGTTAAAAATAACATAATAATTGTTTGCAGTGTAAGTTAATAAACATATATCTCTAAAAATCGAACAGTTTTTCATAAGCTTATTTAATACCAAGAAATTGACATTGTTCTAACAGCAAATTTTAGTGTTTCACAGCTTTATACAGGGTACATAAGGGAATATTTTCTTTTATTTTATTCAGAGATTATTTAGTGAAATTCTAATTTCCATAAAGTTCAATATGGGCTGAATAGGAAATTATATCGCTATATATAAATATATGAATTTTGAAGGCATAGAAATGGAAGTAAAATGTGATTTATTAAATGAAAGAAGTATTACTACATTATCATGGACCAGTAAGATGAGCTCATTAGCTAAAGCTTACTTTTGTGCCTTTGTATTTCCTCATCATAATACTACTCATCTTATTTACAATTAACTAATTAGTGTTCTGTGCTGGCCACTAGACTTTAAAATCTTGAACCAGAAAAGACTGTGTCTAATATACCTTTGTAGCTCTATTATTTATTCATTCACTCAACAATTATTTGCTTAGGGTTTACTATGTGCCAGGTATGATTCTAGTTGTTGGAAATACAACAGAGAAAAGATAAGGTCGCAGCTCTAAAGAAGCTTTCTTTCTAGTAGGGGAGACAGGCACTAAGCATATAAACAAATACATTAAGGTAATTTTATATAGTGATAAATACTACCAAAAAAAATTGAAACAGTAAAAACAAACCAGTGACTAAGGGAAGTTACTTTCTATATAAAGG